GGATAACTGCTTGAACCCCAGAGACAGAGGTTGCAGTGAGCCAGGATTGCGCCACTGCACTCCAGCCTAGGCAACAGAGCAAGACTCCATCTCCGGAAAAAAACAAAACACACACACACAAGTCAGCTGGGCATGGTGACATGTGCCTGTAGTCCCAGCTACTCAGGAGGCTGAAGCAGGAAAATCACTTGAACCTGGGAAGTGGAGGTTGCAGTGGGCCAAGATCGTGCCATTGCACTCCAACCTGGGCAACACCATGAGACTCCATCTCAAAAAGGAAAAAAAAAAAAACAAAGAAATAACTATCCAAGGCTGGTGGTGTGGCTCACGCCTGTAATCCCAATACTTTGGGAAGCCAAGGCGGGTGGATCGCTCACGTCTATAATGCCAGCACTTCAGGAGACTGAGGTGGGAGGATAATTTGAGCCCAGGAGTTCAAGACCAGCCTGGGCAACATAATGAGACCCCGTCTCAAAAAAAGAAAAGAAAAGAAAAGAAAAAAAAAGAAAAGAAAGAATTATCCAATTCCTGCTCCTCGATAGATGGTAAGCATCATGGGCAAGAAACGCATATAGCCTGTTCAGCACTGTATACCTAGTACCTAGCACAGTGTTTGTAAAGTGAAGACTCTAAATAAACATTCATTGACTGAAGGAAATTTGAACAAATGAGAGCAAAAATTGGACTCAAATATTATGCATTACAGTACATGAAAGAGGTCATTTTTCTGATGATCCATTTATTCATTCATTCATTCAACAAATATGCCAATGAAACATATGCTAGCACTGCTTGAAGCATTTAGGATACATCAGTGAATAAAACATAAAAATCCCTATCCTCATAGGGCTTATGTCTAGAGGGGGAATACCAATAAAAATAATTGGGGGATGGAGGCACTGCAGGATAAAAGGGATTGTATCGGAGAAAGTGGTTTGCAATTTTAAGTATAGTGGTTAAGACAAGCCTCATTAAAAGGGTGACATTTGAAGCATGGTGGCTCATGCCTGTAATCCCAGCACTTTGGGAGGCTTAGGTGGGAGGATCACGAGGTCAGGAGTTCGAGACCAGCCTGGCCAACATGTTGAAACCCCGTCTCTACTAAAAATACAAAAAGTAGCTGGCCGTTGTGACAGGCACCTGTAATCCCAGCTATTCAGGAGGCTGAGGCAGAAGAATCGTCTGAATCTGGGAGGCAGAGGCTGCAGTGAGCCGAGATCGCGCCATTGCACTCCAGCCTGGGCAACAAGAGCAAAACTCT